CTTTTAATTTTTGGAGCACTAAATCTAAAGAAACATGTTCTTTCTTTTCGCGCATTTTATATATTGTCTCACGGATTTCAAATTTGCAACCTTCGGGAAGATCTATAGTCTTTGGTTGTCGGCGAGATTTATATTGTGCGACATTTTGTTCACTTTGTCCACTTTTTTTTCTCTTTGCAAAACCGACTTTAGTTTTGTTTCACTAATACAGAGTGCATCACACACCCGTTTATGTACGGACTCAACAGGTCGCAAAGGGCCCCCGTTGGTTTTCTCAGCAGTAAAATAAGAAAGTACATTAATTATAAACTTGTCTACATCTAAAACACGTCTCGGCATTTTTGGCTTCAATACACAAATACACTACACTAAACTCTATCTTAACGGACACCTCTCTTCACCGGAAACCTCTATACGGACGATTTTTAAAACTAAAATCAGTCGGCGATATATGAAACTGTATGTAAATTTTCGTTACTTTTTAATATCTGTAACGACTCGGTACTTTAACTATCAATAGCCGGTATATTATACCCGTTATAAAAAAACTTTCGGAACTTGAGAGTACATCCACTCAAACCAAACAAATATTTAAAACTAACAAAGTGAACTATTATATAGATTCTATTTCTGGTTTCTGAACCATCCTTCTGCCAATTTCTTTTCATTTATAATAAAAATAGTATTTTTATTTTTATTACAGTTCTCTTACCTAATAAAGTAATAAAATATAATATCAAAAAAACCCGGCGCGCCTGTTTGCATTTATTTACAAATGTTTACATTTCAAATGCACTTTGTTTACATTTCACCGAAATCCAACCCAAATGTCTGATGAACACATTTTCGTAAAAATGAGCGTTTGCGAAAAAATTTTTGGTATTTTCGGATTAAATTTCACAATAAACTTTGCGTCTATTTGTACATCTATTAACTGAAATGATTTTAGTTCAGATGTAATACTAACAGTAGATGCTTTTTATTGGAATAATAATTAGACCAATTTACTTTCATACTTCTACTTGCACAGTAAAATATTCGTTGTCGCAATAATCCCAAACAGTCGTATATTCGTGGAATAACCTATAGCTTCTTTATTCGTCTACGAAGAGATCCTTTTCCAAGAAAACTACTATTCCTTACAATTACCTTTACCCTAACTCAATATACTATCGACAATATGTTCTTTTTAATAATTAATTCATGCATTCCTAAACGGAGACATGAATTACGTACTTGAAAATTGGGCCAAACTAGACGAAAACAAAATTATAAAATAATATGTCTTTTACATAAAAGCCACGTGGTAATCGATAACATTAAATGAATGATAGTTTCTCCCCAAAGGGTGTAATATGTAAGTTGTCTAGTTATTAATGATTCAGATCAATTTAATCAAATATATTAATAAAATTAATATGCACCTACTGACTTACTAATACTGGTATTTTCTTTTTAATAACTTCCTCTTTTAATATGGGTAACCAGATCCTACTGCATTCTGTCGAGAAATTTGCGACACAATTAGTGTCATTTAACATAATTAGAGCCGCTTCTTTGATTTTTCTCTTTTCACCATCCGTTTCTTTTAGGACTGTATTTGAATCATTCCATTGAACCCTATGTTCATTATCCCATGTATGTTTACATATTTGGGATCTATCAAATTCTCTATTTTTAATATAAGACTTATGTTCACTTATTCTATTTAATGCCCTTGATGTTTCACCTAAATAAAACTGATCGCATTCACAAGGTATTTTATAAATGCAATTCTTTATCCTTTCTTGTTCATTGTTAGGTTTGGTTTTGGCCAAAATAGATCTCAACGTGTTTGTTGTTTTGAATGTTGTTGAAATGTTGAATTTATTTCCTATCCTTTAACCCTGCATCACTCGCGCCTTAAAAAATTACGCGAGAACTCGCGCGTGAGAATTTCTCTCACACGACGAACCCTTCAAGATTTTGTTCGGTGTAACTGTTTTTATTTTTTTTTATGCAAATGAAACAAAACTATTGGTAATAATAAAAGGGTTTATTTAAAATAAATGCCAAAAATAGAGTTATAAGTACATTAAAAATACTAAAAAGAAAACTTATACAATGCTAAGAACTAAAAAAAAATACCCTGTATATTTTATTTTACATCTATCTTTAAATTAATGTTATCCTTAAATCAGATAAAATAAACATAATATTAATCAAAAATTTAATCATCTGAAGTACCACTATTATCGTTTACGCCAGAACACGTTGGACATGTGAAGGTGGTATGCTCCGTGCAAATGGCAACATTGCAGCTAACACATCGTTTTTTTGACTTCCTGTTCTTTCTTCTTGGACAAAATCCACAGAAATCTGGAACAGATTCTCTGTTCTGTTCAATCTGAGGCATATTTAAATATTCCCTTAGCATGCTTCGAATATTAATTGGCAAAGACCTGATCGATGAACGACGAATCAACAGAGGTTTAATCAAAGCTTCGGCCAGATGATTGAGATAAATTCTACGTTCTTCAATAACTTCGGTATTACTTTTATATACAATATTGGAATTAATAGCAGCAACGTCCAAAATTGTAAAAAAAATTCTAAGTGGCCATCGGCAACAATATCTGGAAACAGAATAAGTTGATTTTAATTCATCAACCACATCGACACCTCCTTTTGTTAGGTTATAAAATGTAATGATCTCAGGTTTTTCCAGTTCGCCAGATTCAGGATCGATGTAGTCCCCAGAATGAAATGTAGATAACATCAATACGTTTTTCTGAGGTTTGGGTTTATACGATAATAATACAGTATTCTTTCGGAAACCAAACATGCTACTAGGTACAGGTCTTTTCACATTTATAAATATTGGCGGAATTTCCCTCTTGTTTTTCCTTAGGGTACCAACAAGTGTAGTTTTCCTATCAAGTAATTGTTTGGCTAACGGCACTGACGTGAAATAATTGTCCATAGTTATATTTCTACCTGTGTTTAATATGGGATTTGCTATACGCATAACAACAGCAGATGCAGAGTTGTCTAGATAAAAAGGGCCAACTGGCTGTTTTCCTGCATATATCTCCATATTGCAGGTATAAAACATCCTTGAGTCAACTAAGGCATATATTTTAATGCCGTATTTGGCCGGCTTGTTGGCTATATATTGCCGAAATTTACATCGCCCTCTAAAGCTTTCCAACATTTCATCCACTGTACAATACTCTCCAACTTGGTAGTTTTCTTGACACTTGGACACAAACTGTTCAAATATGTTTCGAATGGGAGCCAAATTATCGTATTTTTTTCTTTCGTTTCGGTCATTGATATTGTCAAATCTTAGTGCTCTTCCTAAAATATGAAATCGTTCTCGTGACATCGTTAGTCTAAAGCAAGCAGGAGCAAATATTGAATCAGCCCAAAGTTCTTTAGTATTTAGATATTGAGCCTTTCGTACCCCAGCCATGTATAGGAGGCCGATAAAAGCATATATTTCTGTAGCGTCTGTGTCACGGCAATCTCTTTCTCTCGTATAGTTACCTCGTATTTTTGCTAGATAGATATTTGTGCATTGTACGATTTCTTCAACCATTTCTTTTGTAATATATAATTCCCAGCATGCTTCGACAGTATTTGCATCTTTTGCAATATTTTTTACTCCGGGAAGATGACTAACAATATTTTTTGTAGGCACTCTTACGTTAGGTCGTGGAGGATAAGCCATCCAGTGAGTTTTTTTTGTCTTTACCAGTGAAATGATGTTTTGATGTATATGCGGGATTATCGTCAACTTCATAAACAAAATTTTCAACTTCTACATCAGATTGTTCGGAATCGGTATTATGCATACTATGTTCACTGGAAGCGTCACTTTCAACATCCACTCGTCCGCCATCTTCCATAATTTCTTGATTTTGACATTCCTCTTGCCCACTCCATGGTATGTTAGCTGACATACCTTCTCTTTGTGCCTCTTCATATCGAATTCGCCCTAATTCTGCAAGCGTCAGTCCTCTACTCATTGTTTACTATCTAAAATAACAATACCACAATAATAGAACACCTTGACCTTATTTAAAAAGCAAATAAAGTAGTTATGTATAAAAAAATCTTAAATTTACTTACCAAAACTTTATTCAACCTTAAGAAAATATACTACGTTAGAACTTGCGCGATGAGAGAAATTCTCACAGAGATCTGCACACGATCGACAAGTGCCCGATATCTATTACCAACATGCACTAAATATTGCATGCGCTCAAGCGTAACAACGAAGACCCTTAGAAACTCAGCTAGAAGTGGGGGTAGCAGTATGCGTGATTTACCGTTAATAAAATTTGCATTTTACTGGTAGGTGTGAGAGAAATACTCATAGCGCGAGTGATGCAGGGTTAAGTTTTTCTGATAATCCTTTTATGTATGGTATTGTTATTTTCCTCGTATTATTCCTTGTGTATGCTGTAGGAGCTCGTTCTAAGTTGTTCTATTCTATTCGATGGATTGTTGAAAATTCCTTATTTATAAACGATAAAGGATAATTATTTTTTAATAAATCAGATGTTAACAAATGTTTCTCCTCCAAGAACGAATTTTCGTTAGAACAAGTAATTTTGGCTCTATCGTATAAGGATTTAATGATTCCCTTTTTAATATTAATATTATGATTTGATTTGAAATTTAAATATCTGTTGGTGTGTGTTGGTTTTCTATACACCTGAGTCTCATATCCAGTATCGTTCTTAGAGATTAAAACATCCAGGAAAGGTAGTGTGTTATTAGATTCCTTTTCCATGGTAAATGTTATTGTCTTTTCTTTATCGTTTATATATCATTTAGGAATGTGTCCAACAACTCTGATCCATGAGGCCATATTGAGAATACATCATCTACATATCTCCACCGTACTGTGTTATTTGTTTTTCTCTGTCATTGTTCTACTTTTATCAGCAAGTCGTTAAACAACAACGAAATGTAAGTAAAAAGTTTACACCTAATTTTGCTCTTCTTTACAGGGATTGATTAAAGAAATTCACTGTGACGTACAGAATGACGACCTAGAAAAATTGAAGGAACGAGTCACTCCCCCTATACCCCCCATCGTCCTTTCTGGAAAGGATATCAATGGACTATCACCATTACACAAGGTAAAATACATAATTTATGCAATTTTTTTACTGCAAATTGGTAAATAATAAAACGGTATGAAAGAGCTTAAAAAATTGGATAGTTGATACAGCTAATACCGAGACAAAAAGACGCAAAGGCTTATAGTATCTTAATCTTAATCTGTTAAAACGTTTATTAAAGTAGCAACATAATTTTAACTTTAATAAATCTTTGGCATATTGAATTTTATCTGGTCTTGTACGATGCTAAGAAGGAATTTATCTGATCCATAATAATATCCATCTGATAATAAGTCCAAATTGATCATTAATATGTCTCAGGAGGTGTCTGGACCTGAGAGCCTTTCAGAAGGAACAAAGAAACTAGGCATTCCTTCTGAAAACTATTATACTGCACCTTTTAATTCTTAGATGATCTCAAAGTGACACTTATTCTTCCTAATGAAATATAATTTTTTTAATTACAAGAAATGGTATATTAATAACATTTACAACCGATGAAAACAATGAACGCTAAAAATTTTTCAACTGACCCTTATATGGCACATCAAAAAATAATATACACTAGTCTGTTCGTATTATTAGCCCTTTGCGCGTTTTGTTATCATTATACTTTCATTTATAAATCGATAACAGTTTAGAGATCTCTAATTAGGTCACGTCATATCAACTTTTAAGTCAGAATAATTAAAGTAGGTAATAGAGGGATGCAAATCGCCATCTTTCGTGATCCCGAATCATAACAATTTTTAACATTTTAATTATTTTTCAAGTTCACCTCTTAATTACTATAAAAAAACAATTTTATGCAAACTGCATACGTTATTAGCACGAGCAGTGATATAATATGTCAAAGGTGAAGTGTGATGTGATATTTTTTGTTGCGTGTAATAAATTTTTTATGTAAACTTCCACAACAATTTGTTTAGAACACTATAATCTGGTGTATAAATTTTTCGAGTTGTTAATAGATTGTCAAGTTGTAGTCATGTCAAATTCAAAGTTTGCGCACCTTCTTTAAAAAATTCCAGCAATCAGTATTCTTTTATTTTCTCATCAATCGATTAGATATGCATTCATTTCTTGGTCCATCAATGTAACGCTTTTTACATCTTTATTATCATTCTGGCTTTATAACCATGCGTGATTCCTAGCCTCCTCAATAATTTCTCTCCAGTCGTTTCTATCTATCGCCTTTCCCTGTCATGCACTTATTCCCATATTTCTCATGTCTTTATCGATGTTATCAAGGAACTTTGTTCTTCCTCTTCATCACAGATCAATTTAGGAACGTTCTTCTAGCTGTTATGTATTAAACCAATGGTTGTGATTTGTGACATATCTATTACTTTTTCCAGAGCCAGATTAAACAGTATACAGGAGAGACATCCTGGCATAGACCGTTATTTGTTTTAAAAGGTTCAGATAGTTTCTCCTGAATTCGTACTCTAAATTCAACTTTTTCAAGAGTTCTTAAGGTGCTTTCGCCATTACTAAAGGTTGACTATAACTACAGTAAATTGCTCTCTATCTTGAAATGTTCTTAGTAGTATCGAATGTATGTCCATGCCTGCCAGTCTCTTACATTCTTCAACCAGGAACATTTTTTTCTTTCTGGACCCCTTTTTTCTTCCACTTTCCCTTCCATTATCAGTAGTAGGAAGTTGTATTTTTCTCCTCTGTAAATATGTCCTAGATAACTCGTTTTTCTGTTTTTTTTACAATATTTAGGAGTTCTCTCTCAGTACCCATTTTTTTTAGCACCTCGTTATTGGTCACGTGCTCTGTCCAAGAGATCTTCAGCATCATTCGAAAAACCCCCATCTCAAAGGCTTCTATTTCATTTTTCTCAGCATTTTTGTAGTAATATTTGGAGGCCAAATTATGCCTCCCTTGTACCAAGCTCCAGATATATACATCGGTTTAGAACGTCTTTCGACGTTATCCGATACCTAAACACCATTTTTTCTTATCTTCGCAGTCGTTTGTTGTTAAATTTCTTTCGCTCATGGACTTGTTTACGCCGTGATGCCATTCTAATCTGGGTCTTTTTCTTTTCCGTCGACCTATCGTTTGCCATTCTACTACTTTTTTGGGGAGTCTTGTTGCTGGCATCCGTTGAACGTGCCCATACCACCTTAATTGTTTCTTCTCTATATCTTGAGTTATATTTCCTTCTATTCCCATACGTTGTTTTATTACATCATTTCTGATTCGGTCTCGTCTGGAAATACCTAAAGATCTTCTCATTGCATCCATCTCTACTGTTTCTATTCGCTTTTTGTTTTAATCTTTAATCTTTAAGATTAGTTTTAATCATGGTCTCATATATATTAAATTTTCTTCCTTTAGTTATCTCTTTACTCCACAGTATACCATTGAGACATCCTAAGACTTTCTTTGCTTGAGTGATTCGTTTTTCTATTTCCCGTGTATCAGTTCCTGTATTGTCAAAGGCAACACCCAAGTAGTCATAGCTCTGACAGCAGGAAATATGTTGTTCGTTTTCGAGGTCTATGTTATCTGACTCGTTTCCAATACAAATATATTTGGTTTTTGTTGTATTGACATTCATTTCCCAGTCGTTATATTCTTCTATCAGTTTTCTAAGCATGTACTGCATGTCTTCCCTGTCGGTCGCTAGTACTACCTGGTCATCAGTAAACTGGAGTGTATATATACATTCATTGCTAAGTTCTATACCCATCCTATGCACCTTTCTTTGCCATCTTTCCAATGCTGCTGCAACATATATCTTGAATAAGGTTGGTGAGATACAGTATCCCTGTCGCAAGCCTTTTGTAACCAGGAATTCTTCCGTTAGATATTTTCCTGTTTTTATCTGTGCCTTTGAGTCTCTATATAGTTCTTGTACAGCATTTATCAATGTGTGGCTGATGTTAGATCATTGCAACGTTGTCCACAATTTTGTTAAGGGGATGTTGTCATATGCTTTTTGCAGCTCCAACCAAGCTCCATACGAAATCCAAATTGATTGTTGCTCAGGTTTCTTTCGCATTCTCTGTATATTCGTTGATGTACAATTTTCAGTAAAATTTTCAGAAAATGGCTCATCAGGCAAATTAATCTAAACTGAACATCTATTTGCTTTATTTTTCTTGGGTATAGGTATTAATGTCGATCTAAGCCAGTGTTCTGCGAAGATTTCAGTGGTATATATTTTGTTAAATAATACTGTTAACCTCTGAAGATTTTCTTCATTGACAAGTGTTATCATCTCAACGTATATTTCATCTGGACCTGAGGCTTTTCGTGGCTTTGCCATATTGATTGTTTTTATAACTTCCGATGTTAATATATCAAGTATTGTTTCTTGTACTATATTCATTTGTGATTCTGTTCTCTCGTCATCAAATAGATCTTTGATATATTTTTCCCACATATCTTCTACATTTTCTGGAGTTGATACTATTTGGTTGTTATCATCTACTAAAGTTGTTTATTAAGGTAGTGATTTTTTTTTCTTCATATTTGTGACTTTCTTAATCTTTTTGTATGCATTAAAGTAGTCATACATTTTTAGTAAATCTCCCAGTTCCTCTCACAGTTACTGCTCATGCATTCTTCTTTTGCTTTCCTGATTTTGTTTCGGATGATTCTCTGGGTTTCTTTAAATTTTTTTTCATTGCGATTTTTGTAAGAGAAGGAGTTCCATCAGTTCTAGGACTTCTTCTGTCATCCATGTATTCTTTGTTTTTCTGATGTTGTCTTGTAGTTGTTCCCTTTGTATAATTGTGATTGTTGTTTTGAAGGTGTGCCAAATACTATCTATTGTTTCTGATGCTTTCGCGGGTGCTTCACTGAACTTTTCTTTAAGTGTATTATTGAGTGTTTTCTCTATTTCTGCCTGTACTATTGGATCTTTAAGTTTTTCGAGGCTAGGTTTTATCTTCTCTCTGTATTTGATTTCCTGTAGTTTAATTGAAATTTTACAAACAGGATTTTGGTCGAAACCGATTGTCGCCAGGTGCTTTCCATGTATATAATCTTCTTTTTGGTTGTTTAAACCAGGTGTTTGCAATCATTAGATTTTTTTCTTGGCAAAATTGGACAAGTTTTTCTTCTCTATCATTTCTTCGGCCCAAACCAAAGTTTAATGGTTTTTCTGCTGTATCAGCATATACTTGAATAAAGGTAATGTTACGAGTGGTAATAATTTGGAGCATAGCTACTCTATCAGATATGGATATAAAGTTCTTTATACATTTCTGGTCAACTATAAATGCCACTCCGTTATAATGATGAGAATCGTTATTACCAGCATAGTATATTACATCGTTATCGATGTTTGCCTGTCCAGATCCAGACCATCTAACTTCACTAACTCCGAGAATGTCGACTTTCATTCTTTTCATTTCTCTTACGATGTTATGAGATTTTCCTGACATAAATCGATACCATAATGGTATCTTTTCAAGAAATAGTATTGTTAAATTTACCAACTGATTTGGTATTTCTAGCTCTTTTATTGCTTTGAACATTTCTGTTCCATTCGCAGAGTCGTAGGCTGCTTTGTAGTATATAAATATGTAATGAATATTAATGCCATATTGCAGTATTTTTTCTACAATGTGTCTCAGTGGAACAGTGACATAGTACTGTGGAAAATATTTTATACGCTGCATTTAGAAACGTAATTCCTCTTTGATTAACATATTCAAAGATATCTCCTTTTTGTGTATGGTGCAAAATATTCCAATATTCCAATCATTGGGACGAGATTTCTGTGTCCATATTTCTTTTATAAGCTGCTGTAATGCCATTCTTTATATACAGAGTGGCCCAAAAGTCTGGAAACGGCTAATTATCTCGTAAAATGCTAATCATAATTGTACAAAATTTGAGGCACACCTATTTTGGGATACGGAGATTCCATATTTGATATTTACAATGTTGCCAGATTTGCCGTTTTTCTTATATGTGACGATAATATATTTTATCGTCTAGAGTACACCTATGTGTTAAACAAAACACGTTTTTCTTCCGTCTCGAATAGTATAAAAGTGGAAACTGAAAGACAGCTAATCATTCTCGACGCGTTGAGTTGAGAATATCCGACCTTGGGGACAGGTGAGTTGAACGTGTCCCAAACCCTTTCCGAACCCAGTCGATCTGGCGCGCTGAGCGAAATTGACAATCCTTCCTCTGACTGCGTCAATCTGGTGCGTTGAACGAGATTGACGTATTCTTTCCATCTAGCGTGTTGAACTAGATAGACATCCTTATCCCCGTCCGAGTACTCGTTCTGCGTTGAAAAACGAGTACGACCTCAATTCCTCGATAGCCATATCTTAGTTTATCATATCGAATATCGTCACACCCATCTACCGAAATAAATAAACAGTACGTTCTTGTATTTAAGCATTATATTCAGTAAACACTTAACGTTTTAATTACTTTTTTTCATTTGTATATGTTAGTTCGAAATAAATGTCTATACGAACGAATCCTGTTTCTCTGTCTGAAATACACTACCATTTTTTATCGAAAGAAATTTAACGTCAAATAGTTGGTGTAAATGTTCGGCGTTATTTAGATGAGATATTTCTTGGACGATAAATTGGTAGACAAGGTAGAATTGAATGGCCTCCACGTTCACCCGATCTCAATCCTAAAGATTATTTTTATTAGATATACTTGAAAAATTCAGTTTACAAAACTTAACCAGCAAGTCTTACATAGCTAAGGCAATGAATTATCGATGAATCTCGAATAATTTCTAGACAATCATGGAGAAATGCGGTAGACGCATTCTACCATCGATTAGGGTGCTGTCAACTCACAAATTGAGCACATTTTGAACACTTAATAACGTAACTACTATGTTAAAAAATGTTCTAAACTATCAATTGTTACGTTTTAATGGATTTGAAAATAGTTAGTATTAAAAAATTGCCAGACTTCTGTTTTATGTATTTAAGACCTTCCAGACTACATAAAATCATAAATGTTATATATGGTTGAACTCATATTTAATAGGAAATTCCAATAATGACTATACAGGGTGATGCATTTGAAAAACCAAAGTTACTAGTAATATAAGAGAAACTGAAAATCTGGCAACATTGCAAATACCAAATATGGAATCTCCATATTCCAAAATAGGCGTATCTCAAATTTTGTATAATTATGTCTAGTAATTTACGAGATAATTAACCGTTTGCAGACTTTTGGGCCACTCTGTAGTTCAGCTGGAAGATTATCTATTCCGGGTGATTTGTTTCTGGCTAGTTTTTTAACTGCATCTTTAACTTTATCTTTAACTAGTTTTCATTCTTGTGGTAAATCTCATTTCGTTCTAGATTCTGCGAACAAAGGAGGTATTCAACAATTTTTATATTTGATATAAATTTATTTTACTGATTTTCAGGCTGCCGGTTTGGACAAACAAGATATCGCTGAATTCATCATACAAGAGTACCCTGAAAGTGTTAATTCTGTTGATAACGAAGGAAGAACACCTCTACATTATGCAGCACTGTTAAAAGACGATGGCAACATGATGAACTTTCTCATAGAACATGGAGCTGATGAATCTGCTTTGGATAATGTGAGTAACATTACTTATAAAACTTATATGGGCTTTAAATGAAGGTCTTCTTATTTTTTATTAAACTAAAACGAAATGTGTGAGATATTATCATTTTTTTTTTCGTTTGTAAGGCGTCTAGATTCCTTTTTGCATGGAATAGATAATCTCGATGACATGAATTATGTTGACTTCAAAGATCACTGTGGTTTACCACCATCTCGATGACATGAATCAATATGACTTCGAAGACCACTGTGGTTTGTGGTTTATTTGCATAGACCTACAACTTAAGAAAAGCCCACAATAAAGAGTCTGACGCTGTCAAATCGCACGATCTCGGTAGCCAGTTCACATCATTTCCGCATAAGCTGACGATACCCTTAAATCGCTGTTAAATCCACACATCGTTGTTGTCCATATTTTCCAATTTAGGCTAAAAGAAGTTGCTAATCCTAGACCTATAGCGTTTGCTGTTAACGGTGATGACGTGAACAACTTCGCTCTTAAAGAAATATGGAGCGGTGATGCCATCATATCCAAATCCACACTAAACAGTGACTATTCGGCATGCATTGGACGAAGTTATAGTCTACAAAAAGCCGACTTCTTGTAAGCGACGTGAAATCGATATTGCTTCGACGTACAGGTGTTGGCTAATTGCCTACTGACTTGGTGGACTCAAATTTATCCAAAACACATTTATTTGAGTAAACAGAAAATATTTACAAACATATTTATTTTTCACAGAAACAAAAAACTGCTGCATATTATAAAACCCGCCATTCCGAAATCGACTCAAAACTACTAAACGTCATTCCCGATTGTCCAAGATCAGCTAAAGAATCATTGGCTGCCAACTTTGACTGGAATATGCTAACATCTTCGCCTTCTATGAACTGGATTCAAAACGGCGTTAAAAAAGCCGAGAGTATGTTACATAAGAGCAACGATGATGAGTCTGAAAACGCAACTAATGGACATGATGGTACGGAGAATGGATCAGCAGATGAACCTGGTAGGAATAAAATCTTATAAATTAATTACTTGTAACTTCTGTATTAATCGTTCTATATGTTTCAGTTGAAAATGGCAACCACGAACCTGAAGAAACCAACGAAGAACAAAAAGAAGAAACTCCTGAAGCTTCCAATGATCCTGAAGAACCTGATCCGCCCAAAGAAGAACCAGAGCCTGAGAAGTCTGAAGAAGAACCTGAACCAGAAGAATCTAAAGTGGAACCAAAGGCTGAACAGGTTAAGGAAGAACCGGTGCCTTCATCACCAGGACCTGTAGAACCAGAACACGAACCAGAACCAGAACACGAACAAGAACCAGAACCAGAAGAGTCGAAAGAAGAGGATACTGCACCGGACAACAACAATTCTGAAGAGACTGAGGACAAAAATGAACCAGAGGTGGAACGGGAGGTAGATAAAGAAGAAGAAGAAGTAATTGATAGCAACAATAATGGTACTGAAGCTGACGATGAAAAGGAAGCAGAACACGAAGAGGTTAAAGAGGAAGAAAAGTCTCAATCTAGACCTGCAAGTAATACAACCCGTCCAAATAGCTCAAAAGAAGCAACAACTCGACCAAACAGCGTGAAATCTCGACCTTCTTCCAGTCACATTGAAGACAAGTCCAGACCCAGCAGTAAAACATCAGGAAAGCTACCGCCTGTAGAAGACGGAGAAGGGATAATAGAGGGAGTAGTGCATGGTGAAGACGAAATCGATCCAATGGACAACGAAGGTATGAATGAACCTAGAACGTCGGACAATAATGAAGACGTTAAAGTTTTAGTGGAAACCGGTAATATGGAGCAGTTGGCTGCATTGGTACTTAATGGCGAAGGGGATAGATTAGTTGGAATGACTAGTGATAACCCAGAATTGCAGACTTTTTTAGAGAACGTTCCGACATACATGGTAAGTCAATCTTTTCACTTGACGTAGATCTTTTTACTAGAACTTGGCTTTAATACTATCAATTAATAATCATACTTAATTTTAAAACTTTTAGAGCTAGAATTGTTGACATATCTAGCTTAATTTTTTTCATCTTTTTAGGTTTCTTGGTAATATTCTCCAGTTTTTATTTATTCTGCCAGATTATTGACTACCATATTGATCTACTTTTTCTTGTTGATTCCATCTTTGCTTTCGTGATCGGAATTCTTTTTCCAATTCTCTCCAGGTTTTCTATCGTTCTTTTTTCACAGTCATGGCTAGCTATAAAACAGTTAACTCGTTTTTTTTTTTGGCCAAAACTCTCCTTCTGTTTTTCCTCTTTAGATTCCCGACAAAAATTTTCTTTCAGAAATTTTTGCTGGCGTAATAATTTTCTTGAAATTCTTCTTTCTGAAAAGCTGCACATATGTTGTACTGAACCAGATTCTGAGGTTCTTTAACCAAGATGTTCTTCTTCTTCCTGGGCTTCATTTTTAAAATATTTTTCCTTGTAGGTTGGCTGGAAGAAGGGCATATCTGGATTCATTTCGCAAACTATGTTCGAAGAATTGTAACTTTCAAGATTTGATGTTGTTCATGACCTCTCGGTTCCTATTCATTCTTCTGAGAACCTCCTCATTTGTGACTCAGTCAGTCCAAGGAATCTTAACTATTCTCCGATATAGCCACATCTCAAATGCGTCCAGTTTTCTGTACATATCTTCGTTCAAGGTTCACGATTCAACACCATAAAAAAGACGTAGCATCGCAGCATTCTTTGCAATATTCTTTCAGAGTAGAGATTAAAGATTAGAGGAGACAAAATACAGCCTTGCCTCACTTCACGCATGATTTTCACATAGTCAGTGTGTTCACCTTGAACTCTGAGATTTTAGTGGCCTCAATCATTGTTCTTCCGTCCCTCTAGTACCACTTCAGTGAAGATTAATTGAGTCCAATATACATATTCTTAATTTTCTCCGATACAAACATATTTTATATTCCTCCAGAAGTTTTATATTATAATTATTTTATTTTTGGGAACCATAAAGTTGTATTTAACGTTTGAATACCTACTTAATAAATACATTTAATGATTTTAGTCAAAGATACATAGAATTCATGAAGCAGCCAGATCAGGAAGTTTACGAGATCTACAAGCAGCTTTAGACAGGCGTAAATTTGCTATTGCCAAAGACAGCATATCACCTAAAGGTACGAATTAGACAATGATCAGTGTGAATAAAAAACGGGTGTTTACTTTAAGAATTCAGTTATAGTATAATAGTCCAGGCTGTGAGGCCGCTCCCGTTGGGAAAATGTTTCTGATTCGGTTTCTTCGCGGATTCCGGTTCAAAAATGTCCCCTTTAAACAAATCTGAAGGGTGCCGGGCGAAATTTTTGGGCAGAAATTGTTTAAACAATTTTTTTTAAACAAATTCCACAAATATTTTTTTTTTAATCTGGAAAAAAAAGTTTTTTTAGGTTTTTTTGGGTCATTTTAAATAAAAAAGGTCTCTTGTTATTTTTCTCTAAAGTTGATAGTTTTCGAGTTATAAGCGATTTAAAGTCTGAAAACGCGAAAATACGCATTTTTGAGGCTTGAAAACACATATGTAAATTATTATTTTTGAGGTTACCAAGTGTCTAAATTGAAGTTTAAACATTCAACTTCAAGATTGTGAAGAGTAATCGGGACTTATTTTAATTTAGACCGTTGTTTTTTAATTGTTAAATATGCGCGTACACTCGATTTTTCAGCCGCCGCGGCGCGGCGCGCTAGAGTGCGCTTCTATCGTACTTATGCATAGTTTACATATACACTTACGCAAAAAAATCCGAACAAATCCTTGAAGTTTACTAACATAATTTTTTCCATAATTTATTTATGTAGGTATTAATTATTGTCATTGGGCTAATTAAATAAATCAATCATCGCAATGTAATAACCGTATATAGTTTTTTTTTCTTCCAAATTTGAACAATATAATTATTATTTATTGATTATATATTTATTTATATCAATTGTAAATAATATTTTTAAATTATTATTTAAATAATACAATGCAGTAAATATTAATATTAGTAAACTTAATTTTAAATTGCGTGGTGTTTAAAAACAATATACTATCGCAAAAATGCAAGTTTTTACCTGTTTAACAATCGCGCGCTCATACTTGATTTGTTATTACTTAAAAGATCATTAGGAAGACTATTGTTTAATGCCCATTAAAAGGGTATTATATTATTAATGTGTTATTAAAAAAATTGTGAATGGATTTAAAATGTCTTTTTCCGTACCTCTTCTTAAATGAAAACTTACCGAAGAAAATTTAGTTTGTATTTTTTGTAATAACATCAACAATATTAAGTTAGTGCAAAACCCTAAAGTAGATTTTTGACATAACAATACAAAATGCTGCTCTTCGACGAAAAGACAGTGTGGCTGAAAAATTTAATTTTATCTAACCAATATACCTTGTACCTCTGACGCACTTTACCAACACTTGTTAAGAGCTTTCGCTAAAACATATATTTGGCGAAATGCCATATATTCCCGCTATCAAACTCTCGATTTTACACAATATGGATATTATATGTCTGATAGTGGTGGGTTGGGAAACCGTGCAAATGCAAAAAGACTTTCAAAACTAATGCTTGCAACTGCAAGAAAAATCATGTCAACTGTGTACCATTATGTGGATGTGATTTAGATTTTTGTGAAAACAAAGATACTTTTACTGAGTGATATTAGTGTGCTATTTAACAATCTTTTGTACAATTATTTTATGTAACTATTATTAGACTTTAGACGAAATTTATATTATAACTCAATTGATATAAATAAATATATAGTCAATAAATAATAATTATTTGTAAGTATATGTAAACTATGCATAAGTACGATAGAGGCGCACGGTAGCGCGCGGCGCTGCGGCGGCTGAAAAATCGAGTGTACGCGCATACTTAACAATTAAAAAACAATGGTCTAAATTAAAATAAGCCCCGATTACTCTTCACAATCTTGAAGTTGAATGTTTAAACTTTAATTTAGACATTTGGTAACCTCAAAAATAATAATTTACATAATATGTGTTTTCAAGCCTCAAAAATGCGTATTTTCGCGTTTTTCAGACTTTAAATCGTTTATAACTCGAAAACTATCAACTTTAGAGAAAAATGATAAGAGACTTTTTTTGTTTAAAATGGCCCAAAAAATCTAAAAAAACGTTTTCCAGATTAAAAAAAATATTTTTTGGACTTTGTTTAAAAAAATTGTTTAAACAATTTCTGCCCAAAAGTTTCGCCCGGCACCTTTCAGATTTGTTTAAAGGGGACATTTTTGAACCGGAATCCGCGAAGAAACCGAATCAGAAACATTTTCCCAACGGGAGCGGCCTCACAGCCTGGACTATAAGTACAATCTTATTAGATTCAGCTATAAGTTTAAGTACATTCTGAAAAATTTGTGAATAATATTTTGCTTATACTTATAAGTGTATACTAAAAAATTTAAGTTTAAACTAACAACAGGAAACACAAATCTAGAAATAACTTATAAAACGGGCTGTATTCTATTTTTGTCAACAGATTTTTCAGTTTATTTAGTTATTTATTACAACCAATAGCAGACACTTCTTCATGTGCCTTGTCCGTTCTGAACGTTGGCAATCAACATGGCTATTCTGACTTTGTTTACGGCAGATCTGAATAGTTCAGCAGATGACAATCCGAACCATTGCCGCAAGTTTTGTAGCCACGAGTGTCTTCTCCAGCGACACACGAGTGTGTCATAGCAGACACACGTTTGTAAAAGTGTAAAAATGAGTTCCGAATACGACCATACGACAGTGAATCTCTTGACTCCGAAGTCGGTGAAGAACAAAGTGGCAATTTGCGCTTCATATAGGCTTTATCTAATCACAAAGTTTTATTTGATAAATCTCAGTTGCCATTAAAGAATTCTTAAAATTTCATTTCATGGATGGACAAAATATCAAACATAAGAGTACTCCAAAAACTTAATAAAGAAAGAGAAATAATGTACACAGTGAAACGTAGAAAATTGGAATATTTGGGTCACATAATGAGAAACGAGACCAAATATAAATTATTAAAATGTATTCTGCAAGGGAAAGTTCAGGGTAAGAGAGACGTCGGCAGAAGACGAATATCCTGGCTGAAGAACTTAAGAACCTGGTTTGCAACATCCACTACGGAACTATTCAGAGCAGCGACAAATAAAATTATCATTGCCAGAATGATTGCCAACATCCGATAACGGATAGGCACTAGAAGAAGAAGAAGCCATTAATAAAAAAATAAGGAAATTTCATTAATTAAAATGCAGAAATCATACCAAACGATTTATGGCAAAAGTATTAATGTAAAACAATTGAAAAAAAATTATTCAAAATATGAAAAACGAATTAAAAAAGAAATCAGATATGAAAGCAACTGGAAATAAAAAAATTATTTTAAAAGATTGGGAAAAATTTGCTGGACATTATAAATAAAGATGACAAAACGGAACATTGCACAAAATTCCTGGAGCGGTGACAACGGGATTGAAGCCATTGGAAAATGTAGAAATACAAAAACCAGCGAAGACAAGGCACGTTTAAGTCAGACCTCATCTTCTTTCCTCTTATATTACACCATCACAAGCAAAAAGAAATAAGCTGGAAGGACAAGAGACAGATGAGACTGCAAAATTATTTTCTATTATATATAGTATTCGTCTCCATGCTCAGATGGTTTCGAAATTCTTATATGTGTACAATCAATAGCACCAAATGCATAAGGAAACTGATACTTAGCACTCCACTCTTGTTGTGCTTCAGCAAATGTTGTTTACTCATGTTGTTTAAAGGAAAATGTAACCAAATGTGATTTTTTAATTACTTTAGTCAAAACAAATTTCACAGTTTTACTCACTGTTGTTCGATGAACACCTTCATCCTTACCAACTCTAATTTGAAATCCAAGATCACTTAAAAATCGAAGAAATATCTGCATTTTTTGTCTGGGATATAATACTCCTTCCCTTGTTTTTTCCAGAGTCTTCAAGGAAATTTTCTGCTAACCACTCCACATTAATTGTCGAAAAATGATATAAATTATGATATTCCTCATCCCGACACTCACTTCGTTGAGAATAATATTTTCGACCTCTGATATTCAGAAATTGCGCCATTTTTAAACGTGTTCGATTGAAGTTCTATACAAGACTAATTTTTAAGCTGCACATTACCTGGCTTGAAAAATTCAACTTAAAATTTTAGAAATGCTGTATTTTATTCACATCTAAATAAGCTTTCACTACAAAAAGACAGAACACACTTAAAGCAAACAGAATAAACTGATAAGTTTAAGCTATGTATGACTTAATATTATTCACAAAAATGTTAGCTTTTGCTACGAAAAAGGTACTTTAAGTGCATACTACAATTTTATTCACACTGCCCAATAAAATTTTTAAATATTTGCTATATATAGACAGAAAGAATGTTTGTGCTAACAAGACTCTTAATCTTTTAATTTAAAAGCCACTACCAACTGCAAAACTTAAGAAGTTTCTACTAGAAGACCCAATACATATGTTTTTCTCACTTACCTTACTTTTCGTTGCAGGTGCTTCACCACTTCATGTAGCAGTAGTGTTTGGTAATACTAGCATTGTAAGATATTTAGCAGGGAGGTTCCCTGAAACTCTCCAAATGGTAGATGATGAAGGTAGAACGCCTTTACATTATGCTGCAGTATTAAATGATAACGGACACTACTATAATTTGCTAGTTCATTTAGGAGCTGATATGAGGGTAGATGATAACGTAAGTACAGTATAAATTGGAGTGAAAAATATTTAAATTCTATATTCAACTTTAGCATAATTAAACTATCAATTCCTTATGCTACAACCACTATTTTAATCTTTTCTGAGTTACTGTAGTTCAAGTTTGTGTCGATAATACTTTTTTGTTGTACTTGATTCTGGCATACACTCCAAGCAATGCAAATCTAGAACTCTTGGTTTCAGTCACCATATAGGCGAGCGGTTTACCCCTATAAGCAGAGCATCAACCTACTAAAATTCTTTTTGCATTTCTAATGCACCAAACCTTTTTTATTTGATTCTATATATTTTTCCAAGATGAAATGTATTTTTTTTTATTTTTACAAATGGGCCGGCAATCGTTATTAACAAATAACTTATACGAAAAAGCAATTTCACCTAATTATTTCGGAATTAATTTTTTTAGGTGTATCTCGTCAAAATAAACACTTTTTCTCTCCTGATAATTTTTCGAAAAATGCTTCCTTTTCAAGTTATTTGCATTTTTTTGTTGAAAAAATGCCTTAATTAGTGATTTTTGGGATTTTTTTTTTCTAAAAAACTACTAAATGAATTTCAATTTTACAAATAGCTTTATAATCTTTAAACCGTCGAGTACAAGTTAGAATATTTTGACAAGGATAAATGGTTTCTATCTCGCTAAAAACGTGGACCCAAATATTTCGAATATGCCTTTCGAGAGTATCCCGCTAAGCGTGTACAACGGTTGAGGTGCTTTAGGTGCTCGAATCTTTTCGACTTTTTTAATAATGTAATATATATATATATATATATATATATATATATATATATATATATATATGAAAAATATCTGATAATTGATTAAATGAAATTTTAATTTTATTTAATACTACGTGGGTAAGTAAATACTGGGTTACTTACTAAATATTCTACATTTCACTACAAATTTCTTAGATAATTCTAAATTAGTGCCAAACTGCCAACGATATTTGCTCGCGTGCAAATACATGTTGCGTAATTTTTACCTTTAGATGAAGGACTTACAGTTTTGACTCTATTTTTATCTAAACTGTATGACCCTCAAAATAAGTTTAAAAAATATCATGAATCCATAAATGAATTAAGATATAATATTGCATTAAAAAAATGCATCTAATGAAAAATTACCACCTTCGAAACCAGCATTATTACAACATTACTTAAGAGCAAAGTGGCAAATAAATGAATGGATTCAAGCAAAAAACAATATTATTTCATCTCTTGATCCATTAACCCAAGGTTGGACAATGGAAAATAATTGTTTCGATTTTAATTATTTTGAAGGCGAAACTAGTTTAGATATTTTACAAAAGTATTTCTGCTCATGTACCGAAAAATGTTCTACGAAAAATTGTAATTGTATTTCCTATAATTTAGAATGCTGCGCAGTATGTACATGTACACCAGAGAATTATAAAAATGTTAAAGACGACTTTATTGAAGACAATGAAATCAGCTTATTAGATGGAAATCCTGTTGCTGTTGACGAAAATTTTAAAATTATTGACAATGAAAACGATGTATAAATAATATTATATTTTTATTTTATTATATTTTTCAATGAAAATTGATTATATATTGCTTAATGTATTTCACTGTAATAAAACATTCAATAATAGAGTCACCACGTATATTAAAAGAAAAATTACATTATTATAGCATTGTAAAAAATTAATTTTAATTGTTTTAATTATAATATGTCTATATAAAAATATTTATAAATATCTTTTTTTTTAATAAATTGTACGTAATATTTGTATTACATTAATTTTTTAAATCTAAACAAATATTTCTACGCGCCGCACGCCTGTATCGCTGCAACCGCTGTACACACTTAGCGGTAGACTGCTCGAAAGGCATATTCGAAATATTTGGGTCCACGTTTTTAGCAAGATAGAAAAAAATTATCCTTGTCAAAATATTCTAACTTGTACTCGACGGTTTAAAGATTATAAAGCTATTTGTAGAATTGCAATTCATTTAGAAGTTTTTTTAGAAAAAAAATCCCAAAAATCACTAATTAAGGCATTTTTTCAACAAAAAAATGCAAATAACTCGAAAAGGAAGCATTTTTCGAAAAATTATCAAGAGAGAAAAAGTGTTTATTTTGATGAGATACGCCTAAAAAAATTGATTCCGAAGCAATTAGGTGAAATTGCTTTTGTGTATAAGTTATTTGTTAATAACAATTGCCGGCCCACTTGTAAAAATGAAAAAAAAAATACATTTCATCTAGGAAAAATATATAGAATCGAATAAAAAAGGTTTGGTGCATTAGAAATGCAAACAAAATTTTAGTAGGTATATTCTGTTTCTAAGCGTCTTTTGAGAGGTAAACCGCTCGCCTAATATTTGGATCTCCAATATCAGAATATATTTAAAAATGTTGATAAGCGAGTAGTATCTAAGTCGTATATCTATTATCAATATTCCTTTAAGGTATTTTTATAATGTATTCCACATATCTCGTTACTGTTATTTCTTATGGCTTTTCAACAAGACAATCCTGAATTTGAAAATTGAAATAACTAAAATTTACCTCATATTTGAATTGCAGCAAGGCTTTAGTCCCGAATACTATAGGAAAAACCAACAGGACTTTAACCACAGGAGCTTACTTCGCGATTTTGGAGCTGAGGAAGATGAAGCTGAAGAAATACTTGCTGATAAAGGTAGGTGTTATTTTCATAGTCATTTAATGGCTTCAGGATGTTAATAAAACAATTATTGTTAAAAATTTTGGATTTTGGTATAGGTCAAAATTGCTATTACCATAATCGATTAAAAAGTTTAACATTAGGAAGCATTATTTCCTGAAAGAAGGACTGTTTGGTAATTTTGTTATATATTTTATTTAAAGTCTGAGATGAAGTTCCAAAAAAATTAAGAACATTCATTGCGAAAAACAAAACAATTCTAAAATACACCTTCGATACTGAATTAAACCCGAACCACAATCTGAACCGCCAAGGAAAATAAAAATAATAATTGATGGATTCGACCGTTACTTGATGGAAATTCATTTTATGTAACAATAAAACACTGAAAACTTTGTTTTCAAACTTCCACAAAATTTATTTTAAATCTTATCACTACAGCTGTTTCGGCTAATTGCCTTTCTCAAGTGATCTATTTTTGGCTTGGGTTTACAAATTTATAGTCTCTAATGAAATAGGTTGAGGAGGGGGCAACTGTTTGTCTCAAGTTGATCATACAGAATTATATCTGTGTTTTTTAATTTGTTGATTTTCATAGATTCTAACAAAGATAGCTTAAGGCCTTTATTTTGAATGTGAAGAATTTTAAATTTGTCATTAAAAGAATGATTATGATCTAAAAGGTGAAGTGCGTATGTCGAATCTGTTTTTCTATTCTTGAAAGCCCTTTTATTTTCTGTTATTCGTTTATCAAAGTTTCTACCAGTTTGACCGATGTAAGTTTTTGGGCAATCGCCACATTGAAGTTTGTACACACCACTATTTAAGTGTTTTTTATTTTGGCTCTTGTTATTTTTAATATATTTGCCTAGGTTGTTATTTGTTCGGAAAGCTGGTGTTATTCCTTTCTTTTTTCATAAACCTACCCATACTGACACGACTATACACAATTCATCATCCCATCCAACACAACATAAACTGGCAGCTTATCATAGTATGTTACATAGATTAACAGAAATTCCGATGTCAAAATACAACTTTGAGACAGAATTAAATATAATTAAGCAAATAGCAGTAAACAACGAATACAACGAACAAACAGTTAATAAAATGTTAAATCAAAAACTACACAAGAAAGCCCTGAAATTAGTATTTCCACCACCAGAGAAAAAACCCAGTACCTTCTGCTCGATTACATATACAGGCAAAATAACAACAAAAATTGCCAAACACATAAAAAAGAAAGGAATAGCACCAGCTTTCCGAACAAATAACAACCTAGGCAAATATATTAAAAATAACAAGAGCAAAAATAAAAAACACTTAAATAGTGGTGTGTACAAACTTCAATGTGGCGACTGCCCAAAAACATACATCGGTCAAACTGGTAAAAACTTTGATAAACGAATAGCAGAACATAAAAGGGCTTTCAAGAATAGAAAAACAGATTCGGCATACGCACTTCACCTACTAGATCATAATCATTCTTTTAATGACAAATTAAAAATTCTTCACATTCAAAATAAAGGCCTTAAGCTATCTTTGTTAGAATCTATGGAAATCCACAAATTAAAAAACACAGATATAATTCTGAATGACCAACTTGAGACAAAGAGTTCCCCTTCTTCCTAGCACACAGACGCTAGGTGTGAGCGATATTTACATAGAGATATGCACTTTTAACGAAAGCCAATCATTTTTCTATATTTCTTTGTTACCGTACAATCTATGAAAAAACAGTCTTTTGTCTGCAACAATATATTACAAGCGTTTATTGTTCTCTAGCGTCTGTATTTTTGTACACGGAATCTTGGCTTAATATACGGGGAGAATCAAAACTAACAAAAGTCTGTTAATATTTTATAAATGTTTATATACAGTTGCGAAACTGCAACATATTGAACAATAAGTTTTTGTGTGCATTTTTTTAATATGGACATATATTTTCTTAGTAAAAGTTACTTAAATCCAAAATTTTTAACTCGCTATTAATGCAAGGGACAAACAGGAAAATACAAATAATAATAATTATCCATCCCCTGCAATAATAATGAAACCAAAGCCCGAATTTTGTGTTAGGCTGCTGCATGTTCTAGTGTGTAATTTTCTAATATTTAATATCATTTATGATTTACCAATACCATCGAATACAATATATATTTCACTGTAGTGCCCAACGACGTATACTCAGCAAGAAAAAACCTCGACGACGAAGACATGTTGGCGGTTCTGGAACGCTGCTACAACGTCTTGCAAAGCAGAAGAGGATCGACGGTTTCTACGACATCAGCTAGCACGATTAGTTCGACAAGCACATCTGGATTCTTTCTGAGCAAACACGTCAGGAGACATATTTTTGATATAGTTAAACTTAGACTTACGAAACAAGACAACAATCTGTATGATATAATTTGGCCTAGTGTTAAGAAACTTCCTATAGAACCAAGTTTTCGAGTAGCTTTGGAGCAAGACTTTCCTATGGGTGTCTCCGCTCCAGATTTCTACTCTTATCATGTATTTAAGGAATTTTTGGATCCGATTTTAAAAGACTATAATCACTTGAATATCTATAACGACTTACCAGATCAACCACAGAGTAGCTTCAGCGAAAAAGATGGAAACGCCAACACTGATTTTGATAGAGATTTGGACCCACAACTCAAATATATTTTATCAGGAACTCTTGAGGCTTCTAGAAACATAGAAGGCTTTGAGTTACCTAAATCGTTAAATACTGGCCAACTAGAGCTAGTGGAACGGATAATAACGACGGTTTTGATGAGCAAAGAAGTGGCCAAAGCTTTGTATCCTCTAACGCCAGAAAGAGAAATTGAGGAAAAAGGTAGTGGGACTTACTACACCATGAACGAGGTGTTAGAAGATACATCAGAAGCCAAAGTTGTGCTTGCCAGTAACGGCCTTCTCATTCCCTTATGGAATATACCAGATTCTGATAGATTACATGGAAAGTACTGGCCTTACGGTAGAGGAGTGTTTGTAAGCAACGGTGCCAACTTAGCAGTGTGGGTCAATGTCTTAGATCACATTAGAATTATCACTTGTACTGACCACGCTCATCCTGCAAACGTAGGACAGGTATTCTCTAGAGTTTCGAGACTTGTAGGAGTACTACACCAACATTTGAATTTTGTTTTTGACAAGAAACTGGGATTCTTGTCCGCCAGACCTTCTGCTATTGGAAACACCTTACAATACAACTTAACGCTGCGGTTTCCTCATCTAATTAAAGAACCTGAGAACTTGAGGCATTTGTGTACGGTCAGAAGTTTGACGTACCATAGAAATACGAGTACCACTGACGTGGTTCGTATTGGAAATCAACAATGTCTAGGTGTAACAGAAACACAAGGATTTGAAGATTTTACAATGGCTGTAGCGAATATATTACAGCTGGAAAAAGATCTTGCTATGTCAAACTCCATGCATATAGCAGCTGCCTTTTTAAACATTTTCAAGAAAAAGAAACTTGCTGAAAGTGCCTAAATCGTTCATTTTGTAAGTAGGGTTAATGATTTTTGTATATATCCATTTTGTATATAGTGCCAAAAAGTTTCACATGATTTTTTCTCTATGATGTACAACACTGTTAAGGATGGATTTAAAAATAGGTCAGTAATATGTAACAAGAACTCAAATCACGATCATTTTCTTCTCGAGCAACTAGAACTGTGTGTACAGTGTGTATTTGAGCACTTGAACAGCACAAATATCATGTGTTTTTATAAATGTTGTTTTGCGTCTATTGTAAATACTTGGCATAGTTTATTTTGGCAGTTTCACAAAAGATTGTATTTTTAAGCTGTAATAGATAGTATATATAAACGTTTAGTTTTTTTTTAATACCACTTTACTAGAATTTTTTTCAGTATATAATATCTGGCATTACTGCAAAAAAAATTGTGTCCAAAATAATATTGAAGTACAGTGTTCAGTGTACTATAGACTGGCAAATTTCACTTTGTCTTTCAAGGTTAGTAAATGTAAATTCTGATAGTACATTTTTTAGCTGTTTTATTCGATGCTTTCCGCTCAGAAATTGAAAATTCTACCTTGGCCATTTAAAAGAACGAAAAAAAAAATACATAAAAAATTACTATTTAAAAGTTAGTCAAAAATTATTAACATAACCTAAAAAATTATTGTTTGCAATGAACGTTCTCTCACAGAGATGCTTAAACATGAACCAAGAAATTTACGCCTGCTTTATTGATTTCGAAAAGGCCTTTGACAAAGTACAACATAAACCACTAAGACAAGTTCTAATAAAGAAAAATATAGACAGCCGAAATATTCGAATTATATGCAATCTATATTGGAATCAAACAGCAAATGTCAAGGTTGAGGGCAGACTAACAGAAGAAATTCAAATCCGTCGAGGAGTCCGGCAGGAATGTATCTTATCGCCACTTTTATTTAATCTGTATAGTGAAGCTATCTGTGAACAAGCACTCGAGGAAGAAGATCTTGGTCTGATAATAAATGGTGAGACGATCAACAATATAAGGTATGCTGACGATACAGTTCTCCCAACAGGAACGCTAGTAGAACTACAACATCTCGTTCAAAGTCTCAATATATACTGTAACAGTTACGGCTTGAAAATTAATTTGAAAAAAACTAAATTTATGGTAATCACGAAATCAAAGAACATCAGAGCTAATCTTGTAATAGACAATACAACGAGTGAGCGTGTGCCCTGTTATAAATATTTAGGTGCTTGGATCACAGACGATACTGATCAAACAAAAGAGATTAGATGTAGAATAGAAATCGCTAGATCAGTCTTTAATAGAATGCGCAAACTCTTTTGCAATTGTGATATCAATATAAAGTTACGAATATGAATGCTGCGGTGTTATGTCTTTTCTACCCTGTTATATGGAGTTGAGGCTTGGACACTAAAACAGTTGACCATAAAAAACATCGAAGCTTTCGAGATGTGGTGCTATAGGCGCATTCTCAGAATATCATGGATGGACCGCGTCACTAACACGCAAGTACTCCAAACTTTAGACAAAAGATCCGAAATTCTAAATGAGATAAAAACTAGAAAGATGGAATACTTGGGGCACATTGTGAGAGGTGAAAAGTACGAACTTTTAAGAAACATCATGCAGGGCAAAATTAAGGGCAAAAGAAGTGTGGGAAGAAGAAAAATATCGTGGCTTCGTAATCTACGTGAATGGTTCGGGTGTAGTTCGATTGAACTTTTCAGGCGCGCTGCTAACAAAGTCGCAGTGGCCATGATGATTTCCAATCTCCGCTAGGAGTGGCACGAGAAGAAGAAGAAGAAAAAATTATTGAAAATTACAATGATAAAAATTTGAAAAAAATCATACTATTTTGTATTCGAAAGATACATCTTCATGAATCTTTTTAGATTTTTTAAAGCAAAATTGCGTCCAGAAAAAAATAAAGTCGAAGAAAGCTTCGTTTTTAAATTTAGGAGATTCTATAGGCTCTGGGAAGCTAAAAATTTGTATGAACTCATGTTTTTATATTTTTTATTGAAAGCATAAGTTGCGGTTCTGATCGGTGCGGAGGCACTTTTGACCATCTTATCCCGCTATAGCCTTTGACGTCAATCGCTTGTGTCTGCTTTTTTAAGTTATCAATAAACACTTTTACATAACAACTGCTATTTTCAAGAATAAAAGTAAGAAAACTTGTAAAACTGTCAAAATAATATAGCTGTCAAGTATGTCAAACTACCAGCTTATGTGAAAAAATGTCAAACGTTACACAGCCATCTATAATCACTTTGTTCCGATGTCCACGACGACAATGTTAATTTTACACTGGCGTCTCTTTGGTTTCAGATAAACTAACTGCCGAAAACGGACAGGTCGATATGCCTTTTTTCGCTACAGAGGAAGGTCGATATTTAGCCTCATGTGAGTCTCATAAGTTATACCAGAGGGTTGCAATAAGGGTTTGCGTCATTACTTCGAGCGTTGTTTATATTTTAAACTTTCACTAATTCGTTGTTTTTAGCTTTGGGGGATCCGCTAATCAAGGGGTTGACTGAAGTTGCCAATAAACGTCCCGACGATCCCATTGCGTACCTAGCACAGTATTTGTATAACTTTGCGAACAACAGAAACAGTATTAAATCCAGAGGAAAGACACAGGTAATTGATAATTTTTCTTTTGATTTAAATTAACTTGTATGCGACAATTTAATTCAGCAATGAATGAATAACTGCAAAATATAGTAACCTTCTCATGAAGTTGAATAAATCAATAAATATTTTTATATTTTAGGAGGAACCCCAACATATTATAACAGGCTCTCCTACTGATGGAGACAACAATAATGCAATACCTGCAACCATAGATGTCGTCACTGTAGATCCTAACAATGACCAAGAAGACGAATCAGCTTTTAGTCCTACTAGTAGAGTAAGTACATTTATATATATATTGAAATGATTTCAATATGTTAAAATATATACAACTTTAATGGATTTTTATATGAGTTTGTTGTTTATGAATTTCATGAAGCCATCACAATGTGGGTTCGACTCTGAAATAAAAGAGAGAAAAAGATTAGTAAATTGTTAAATAAATTAATTTTGACTTACCTGGTATAGTGTTAATAATTTCTGAATAGTATAGTTGCCTAGTGTATAGGTGAATCGTCTAAACCTTAAAAAGAACAAAAAAGAAGAATTTTAAAAAAATATTTAAACATAGAAATTTTAATAAACGTCAGAAAATAAACTGCTTGACAGTTTATTTGACAGTCTGTGGGAGCTAAATTAATAGGGGTTTTGTTAAATAAGAAATTACAATGATGTGGAGATGAAAAGAATAAATTAGTATTGTAATAGAATAAGTTTTATATCTAAACATTTTTTTTTATAAATTCCCAAATTAGATGTGATTAAAGTGATTATGAGAAAGTAATGTGGCTTGACAAATATGTCAAACAGGACAGTTTTATGGTTTAAAATATTTAAATAGAAGACAGAAAAAAAAGAACGTTGGTTGCTGTTAGCAACGGATAATAAGGGGAATTGGTTTTTGGAGAGGACGCCGACGAGGTTTTTTTGGACGAAGGAGAGCCCTGAAACTGTGGAATAGGTCGGGAGTGTTTTTTAACTCGTCGAATTAGAATTTAGTTTTTCCACAGTTTCCACAGCAGAGATATCCAGAAATTTGTTCCAGAGAGTAAGAGAAACAATTTCACTTATAAATTATATTGGAGTATAGAAATGTCATTTAAATTGAGAAAATTAAAATTCATGAATTAACATAATTGCCATAGGCCTTAAAAATTGAAATTATTAATGATCATTAAATTAAAAATAGAATAGTACGTACCTTAACTTCCGAAGAGAGGATTGATATTCCAGTTTCACCGATTATTTTTGAGTAGTTAGTTTCCTTTAAAGAAATCAGAACTGTTTTAAAGTGAGGTTGGACAATAATTTTGGGGATCATTTGAAATTTTGATTATATTTGAATAGTCAGCGGAATAAAGTGTTCATTTTCTTTTTCTTTATAGTTCATTTAAACACTTTATAAAGTTGCAATATTTATTTAGTTTTTAGGTACTTGTAGAGAGTCTCCACATTTTGTAATACATTTTTATTGTCACATCACTAAACCACGTTAAGACTTAAACGATTCCTATTTTTGTAAATTTTTAAAGGCAACCGAAGTTGCAGACGAATTTGATTGTTTATATTAAATTTGTTCAATATTAATAAATAACGTGCTTCATTTGGGTTAATTTATCAAAGGTCTAAAGTAAATTTTGGTTTAATTTCTTTTTGAACTCTACCAGGAGACTACAGAGTCGACGTCACACAGTGACAGATTGCTTAGAACATATAATTGAGCTAGCTGAGGTATATATTAAATTAAACAACGAACCACATATTATAAAAAGTACATTTATTATAAATAAAAAATAAAATTAATAAAATACAACTTATCAATATATATATATATATATATATATATATATATATATATATATATATATATATATATATACATCTAATATAGACAATATAAATTTAGAACAACCAATCTTAAATTTGAAATTCTTACAATAATTAAATTATATTAACAAAATTTGGTTCCTTTCTATCACTAAATGCCTAAATGAAACTGTTTTCCAAAATAAAGGGTATAATCACCACTCAATATCTTCTTTATCAGCCTCGCTTATTCTTGTTTTTGTAAAATTGCTTTTTCCAAATATACCACAATGTTTTAATTATCAGCTTCTACCAATTTAAAATATTTTTCTTCTTAATAGCATTTATAAATGGGCAAAATATTCTTCTTTCTTTATTGTTCTTCTATTCTCTCGTGTTTATTCTTCTTTTTAATAATTCTATTTTGTTTTCAATTTCCAATCACCATATAAATATTATAATTTTAAATCCTTCTAATCTCCAATCTCCATATACATACTGTACTGTATAATTAATACTCTAATACTGATCACTGTATACTATATACTATGAACTGCTTGTACTATTTACTGACTGACTAACTTCTTAATAGATTCTTAATTAACTAACTCCATACTGTCTTACTGTCTTAATTTACTCTCATACTGTCTAACTTAATACTGTCAACTATCCTCCATTCTCAAAATTACATCGTATTTATATCATTTCATCGTTCCCGAATTTTCTTGAAAACAATCATATTCAAATTTTTTCTATTTCCTAGATATACGAATGTTCCCGAATAGTCTACCTCGCAAATAGGGTTACCTTTCTTATATTGACGTTTTCTAGAGAATTTAAATAATCGCTACCTGTAAGAAACAAACTAAATAACTTTTTTTTAAAACAGACTATTTAGCCTGGCGAAGATTTAGTACTCTTCAAGAACTCAATAATTGCCATAATTTCAGGTAGTTATATTACATGCCATTATTCAAAAAACAGAGTTAATACCATTTATAAATTACTGCAAAAATGAGGCGATGATTTTTTCATAGATTAACTTGGGTGCCGTACAAAACTGGAAAATCCGAACCAAAATTTAAAAAGAATCTAAAATAAATTATAAAGGTCAGCAAACATAGACTGTATCCCGTCTTGAGTATTTCGGGCTGCACCAATGAAACCATAAAAATCGGGAGATTTTATTGATACTGGAGAAAAACTAATCAAACCTAATCAAAAATAATCTATATTATATCTGTTTTAGGACGAACACGGTCAAAGTATGCTCCACTTTGCTGCTGCAAGATCGCATGGTCGTAACGCGTTGTTTCAACTTTTGAAAGAAACTGAAATTAACGTGGCATATCGCGATGAGCTGTATAGAACTGCTAGAGATATCAGCATCCAAGCAAATTTGCCTGACAACACCGAAGAGATAGATAGATATGTGTTACATATTGCTACCAAAGGTAAGGAGGATTTTTTTTTATTAATTTTACAAAAAAATTTATTTGTACTATCCGGATGGAAAGATACATATGAATGCAGATACAGATGTATATGAAGATAATTCGGATGGAATTCTCCAGATTAAGAGACTTGACCGATATCAAGCACAAAATAATGTGGGTAATTCCATCCGAATTGTTTTGCAACGGATAGTACGTTGTAATTTAGTTTTTGTTTCATATCAGTACCCATGAAAGTAAAAAGTTCTTTCAGGGTCTCACCACCATTGCAAGTGTATACACCTGACTCCTTTTGGAGTACAGGTATGCCTATCAAAGAGTTTTTAAAAGAAGTTTATAAAGCCTTGGTTAAAATTAATGGGAAAAACCCCGTAATTGGCTGTATACCATTGTTTAAAAAAAACACAGAAGTTAAAACACTTCACAATTATGTATTTTGGTATAAAAACAAGCAAACAAATTTGTTTTTATATTTTTTATACCAAAATACACAATTGTGAAGTGTTTTAACTTCTGTGTTTTTTTTTCCTTGGTTAAAAGTTAAAAGGAGATTACAACAAAGACAATCAACAAAATTTACGTCAACTACACCGTGAAGACCCGACAAGAAAAGAAGTGTCAAATCTTCTTCTTCTTAAAGTTCCATCTCCTATCGGAGCTTGGATATCATAACGGCTATGGTCACTTTGTTGGCTGCTGCTCTGAAAAGTTGTAGTGAACTACAGTTAAACCATTCTCTAAGGTTCCTCAGCCAGGAGATGCGTCTTCTTCCTATGCTTCTTCTTCCTTGGATCCTTCCTTGCATAATAATTCTCAGCGGCTCATATTTTTCTCCTCTAGTTATATGACCCAAATACTCTGGTTTTCTTCTTTTTATGCTGTTCATAATATCTATCTCCTTATTTAGATGTCGTAGTACCTCAGCATTGGTAATGCTTTGAACTCACTGAATTTTTAATATTCTTCTGTAACAGCACATTTCGAACGCTTCTATTTTTCTTATGTGTTGTTTCTTCAATGTCCAAGCTTCCATTCCGTATAGTAAGATAGAAAATATGTTACATCTTATAGCCCTCAAATCTGAGATGCAACTAAAGGTCTCTGTTGGTAAGCATTGTCTTCATTTTCACAAATGCTTGCCTTGCAGTTTCAATTTGGACTTTGATTTCTCTGCTTTGGTCATTTTTGTCATCAACCCAGGTTCCCAGATATTTTTTATGTCTCTACTTTTTCTATTTGAGTTTGCTCTATCATTAATCTTTCATTTCCATGTTGCGTTTTTGAGACAATCATAAATTTAGTTTTTCTCTTATTTATCTTAGTCCGTATCTAATGCAATAATCGTTAATTCTATTTACCAATCCTGTAGCGATTCCAGGGTGTCTGCCATTATAACGGTGTCATCATGGCTTCACTGTACACGTTAAACAGTAATGGTGACAGAACACAGCCCTGTCTTACTCCTCTCTTTATATCTATATTTTCGGACTTTTGTTCTTCTATCTTTATACTGGCCTTTTGATATAATCTTCCATGAATCATCTTTAGAAATATTTTGAGGGTATGACTTATTAGTGATATGGTCCTATGGTCTGAACAATCTTTGACATACACTGTTTTTAGTATAAATTAAACTCCTTTGAGATATGGTGCTACAGGAGAATGCATAAAATATCGTGGATTGAAAAAGTAACTAATATAGAGGTGTTACAAAGAATGAAGAAAGAATGTGAAGTCATAAAAACTGTTAAAATTAGAAAGATTCAATATCTGGGACATTTAATGAGGGGTGAGAAGTACGTATTACTGAGGTTGATTATGCAAGGGAAGATACAAGGGAAGAGAAACCCAGGACGACGCAAAATGTCCTGGCTAAGAAATTTGAGAGAGTTGTTCGGCTGCAGCTCATTAGAATTATTCAGAAATGCGGCCAACAAAGTTAAAATAGCGATGATGATTTCCAACCTCCGCTAGGAGAAGGAACCCGAAGAAGAAGAAGTTTTTAGTATTGCTACAAAGGTGGACACCAACCAATCCTTTGGGATTTTTCCAGTTTTATATACTTTATTAAATAGGTCCAGAAGTACAGGTAGAGTTTCATCGTCTAGACATTTCAGTAGACAGTTTCGCTGTCCATTTCTTCCGGTTCTTGTCGATTATCCTCAAACAGATCTGTTATGTATGTCTTCCATGTTTTTAATTTCTCTTTAATTTCTATAATGATTTTTACATTTACGTCTTTCAGAAGGGCATCTTTCTTTTTTCTCAGTGTATTTGTCATTTCCTGTATTTTCTTATGCATGTTAAAGCATAAGCTTTACTGTTGCTAAACATACTGTTTAGCATATGCCTCTATTTCACTGCATTGATTAGCAAGCCAGGTCGATTTGGCCTCTTTGCCAAGTGTCAAATGCCATCCTAAAACTCAAAGACAATAAAGCCCCAGGAATCGATGAAATCTGTTCGGAAATGTATTTTTTGCAGCAATTAATAAACTAATAGTACTTATATAGCAAAATGAATTGATACCAGAAGAGTGGCTAAAGGGAATAATATGTTCGTTGCATAAAAAGGATGATCAACTGGGTAACAAGGGTGTAAGAACTACAGAGTCATTACTCTGTTAGCATCTGTGTATAAAATCTTCAACAATGTATTGTTTGAAAGACTTTAATATTTTACGGGATTTTAAGGATATTGTTGATCAATATCAATGCGGATTTACTGTTGGAAAGTGAACTACACATCAAATTCAAGCCCATAGGCAGATTCTAGAATAGTCACTAGAATATAACATAGATACACACCATCTCTTTGTCGATTTTAAAGCAGCCTAGAATAGTGCGAAAAAAACTATATTATGCAATGATATACTTTGGGATCTCATCTAAGTTAGATAAATCGATCCAATTGACAATGTAAAACGTAAGTTCATGCGTTAGAATTGAAGGAGAAAACTCTACGTTCTTTGTCAATAATAATGGTCTAAGATTGGGGGGACGCGCTGACGTGTCTCCTCTTTGATATTGCCTTGGAAAAGGCAATCAGACAATTAAATATTATAATGAATGGAAATATTCTTAATATATCAACGCACATTCTCGCATTCGCTGACGATATAGTTTAGTAGGCTAAATATCCAACAGTGAATTGAAATTAACAACCATACCTTTGAGCAAGGCAAAGAATTCACATACGAGTAAACGCAACAAACACGACAAGCGACAAAATAAAAAGACGCAGAGCCATAGCAGACAGAACTGCTCACGGTCTTCAGAAACATTTAAAAAATAGAACTATAAAACGTGCAGTAAAGCTTAATATATACAATACCTTAATAAGACCGGTTTTGATATGTGAGGTTGAAACGTTGATCTTATCTCAAAATGATTAAAGACTTGTGTTTTTGTTATTTTTGAGAGAAAAATTCTTAGAAAGGTTTTTGGGGAGGTAAATGAAAATGGGCTATGGCGTTGAAGATAAAACCATGAACTACTATTAATTACACACCGATCCAGATGTTGTGAAATTCGTTAAAGTGCAGAGACTTAAATGGGCTGGACCCATTGCTAGGATGTCAGATCACGAATACACGAAAAGATTAACATTTTCAAATCCATAGGACACAAAAAGAAGACGAAGACCACTAAGGAGATGGATTGATGATGTGGAAGAAGATAGAAGGAAATTGCCAGAAATTGACAGGAGTGGCGACTTTTTTTTGAGCAGGCCAAGGTCCACAACAGATTGTCGAGCCACTTATGGTAATGATTATTATCGCGCCATGGCATTTCTGAAGGGGATTTTTAAAAGTCAAGTCAAACAAAACGTTTGTTTTGGTGCTGAGTTTTACTTAGAAAATTAATTGATTTATGGTGACCTCAAGGTATTTAATACTAAGACAAAATAGTGATATTGTGTGCAACTTTATAGAAACAATGATTTAGGAAGACATGAAAACTGAAGGAAGCGTGAATCAAAAATAAAGCGAGAGAAGAAAAATACAAGAAAACAGACAAAAGTGAAAATCTGAGAAGACTTCGGAAATAAAATACATGAAAACAACATAACGAATAACAGAACCGTTTGATCTACTATCAAAACTAAGAAAGAAGGCAAAAGAAAAGAACCAACATTGATTATAAAACTGAATTCAAAACAAAAAATCGATGATGTCTTTTAAAAATGGATTACTACACAAATAAATTTTATGAAAACATACCAAATCTACCAAAAATTTACCAAACATAATAATTGAAGAAAAAAAGGAACGTAATAGATCTAGAACCTGAAGAGATTAACATAGAAGAAGCACAAAAAAGTAAAAAGCTTCAAAAATAATTAAAATCAGAAAGGCTACAGTTCTGATGAGGTTGAGCATCACATGCTAAAGTGGTTGAGAAAAGATGGAAAAGAATCTTCGTACCCATATCTTTTGCTGTTCCTCATGAAGTGACCGAGGTATTTAATTTTGGCTGTTTTTATTTCGGTTATAATTTTTTTTTCCTTTTTGTATTCTTAATCAAACGTCCTGGTTAGTAACGTGGTCGGTATAGGATATTTTCAGGGTCTACGATAAAACCACATTTCGAAATGAAAAGAATAAATGGCAAGCCCTTGTAAATTAGAAAGTTTCCATTGAAATAAGAATTTACGCGAGAACGAACAAGAACTGATTAAGGTACTCCTGCTTTAGATAATTTTTTTAATGTATACAGTTTTCCACGTTTATAAAATGTACAAGTTACTATGCCAATATTAACATTGACATTTCAATACCAATATTATTTCAAAACCAATGTAGCAACCCTCTGTTTCAGGCGATACTGATAAACTAGTGGAACTATTACTAGATGGCTATGATCACATAACAGATATAGTCGATAACGAAGACGTACCAATCGTCGAAGCAGTATCCAACGCAAACCAACCTGATACAGTTTCATTCCTACAATCAATACTAGCGTTCGAGGTAAACTACCTCACTTATTTTCGTATATTTTAGATATTGTAATGAATTATTTTTAGGAAAAAAGGGAAAGGGTTCACCATGCTATTCGTCAAGGTTCCATCAACGACGTGACCGTGCTTCTGGCAGACGAAAACGATACAGGAAGTGGGAAACTGTTGGCTATAGGCAAAAATAGCTATGGACGATGCACTCTACATATCGCGGTGTTGTGTCAGCAGGAGGAAATCGTTGACTATCTGGCTAATACTTTTCCGGACACGCTAAAACTAGGAGATAATGTGAGTAAAAAAAATAGACATATTACTTTACTTTTGTCTTTTATGTCTTCTTACGCATTATATGATAAATATAGGTATGTTAAATATTGGTTGGGTTATGTAAATTTAAACGTAGTTTTAGTTTCGTTTTCAAGTATTTATTTGCACCGTAATATAATTTAAAATATTGTATCTATAAGAACACTATTGAAATTATCAAGGAAATCATTTTGAGGTTAGAAAACCCCTTTATGATATCTCTTTCAAAATGCACTATGCAGGGTGTTTCAAAAAAATGTAACACCGTCTCTAAGATAGGTAAAGAACTGAAAAATAATTGAGGTTTGATTATTCAAAAAATTTTGTATCGCCATCCGTTTTCAAGATAAAGTGAGTTGTAGAAAAAAAATGTTACACTTTTTTTACGATTTTGTCGAAGCTACTGGCAACATTGTAGTAAAATTTTATACGAATATGATTTGGAAGCTGATACTATGCGTCTACGTATATTCTTTGCTAATACATACCATACATTTGTTTTTATCTGACTCTTATAGAGGACGCTAGCTACAAGGTTTGTACCAAGAATTATTCAACATAACGCTTTTAAGGGTAGAATTATTAATTAAAATTTCAAGTAAACTTAAACATCATACATTGTTACACCAAAGTTTGGTGTAACATTGTATTGTAGCGAGATTAAATAAAACGAGCGGTTCGAATTTATATAAATATATTTATTTATAACTTTACAGTTCGGTATTTTCTTATCAACTAAACTTACTCCTAACACCGTTACATATATATACCAAAGTTACTATATTCTAGAACATTCCCACCTCTAATTCTAATTCAGTCAAATACCTGACGGATTGTTCTATTGCGGTCGAAAGATCTATCGATCATTCTCGATGCGCGAGATGCTTCGAGATGCAACTGTTAGGCGGGCCACACTGAATGCATGTTCGTAACACTGCTCCCCTCTTAAATCTGAGCGTCCCGATCAGCAACTCTATATGTAGGCCTAGGATGGCGGAATCTACAGGACTCTCCAGCTCTGCATGAACCCCTCTGAAAGAAATAACAGTCTACTGTCTTTGAAGAACACGATCTCTTCGGTTTAGTACAACACACAGTAATTCTTACGCCGGTTTCTCGGAAGATGACTTCAAGCATGCTTCTGACAATCTTCCAATCCAGATTATCTAGTGCATGGCCTATCTTGGGTAAGGCCAAATTCTTAATGTCGTAATTGCAGACGATTTTCTTCAAATTAGTTAGAGCACACCATATATCCTCGTAGGTTGCCCTGTCTGTATACGACTTCCTGGTCACCATATACAGCAAAGATCGAGAACCATCTTCTAATCTCAGCACTCTTCCAACTTTAGGCTGCTGGTTTTTTAACTCGTCCAAGCGACCAAATTTCTTATAAAATACGGATGTCCTTTAGTCGTCTCAAGATCTTGGGCAACACAGTGGGCTAGGGAGACGTTATGCGGAACATTAAAAAGATCCTGCTGAACTTCTGTCGTCACGCCGAATCTAGCACTCTTTCTCTCTGCGTAATTTGACATAAATACATTAAAACTTGGTCGACATAATCTTCGCTTGCAACATGTTCTTCGGAAGGTCTGCAGCCAAACTCTAGGTCGCAGGGCAAACGAACTTCACGACCTAACATCAGGCAGGTTGGAGTCTGGCCCGTAGTTTCATTCATGGCCGAGCGGTATGCCATTAAGAATAAATGAATGTGCTGATCCCAATCTCTTTGATGTTGTGATACAACTTTGGACAGGTGTTTACCCATTGTTCGGTTCATTATCTCGACCATTCCATCTGATTGAGGATGCAGGGGTGTCGTTCTGGTCTTATTAACACCAATCAATTTACAAACGTTTTGGAAAAGGGTTGACTCGAAGTTTCGCCCTTGGTCGGAGTGGATCTCCAAAGGAACACCAAATCGGCTGAAGAATTCCTTAACAAGTACTTCTGCAACGGTAGCAGCTTCTTGATTTGGTATCGCGTAGGCCTCAGTCCATTTCGTAAAATAATCCATAGCTACTAGGATATATTTATTTCCATCATTCGTCTCTGGAAGTGGACCTGCAATGTCGATTGCTACTCTTTTCATAGGACTACCAACATTGTACTGTTTCATAGGTGCCCTCTTTTTACCAACTGGACCATTCTGGTTGCACACAGTTCACATTTCCGGCACCATCTTCTTACATCATCTTTACAGTTCACTCAATAGAACCGTTCTCGAACCTTTTGCAGAGTCTTTGTAATACCAAAGTGTCCACCTGATGCACCGTCATGTAACTAACGCAATACTTCTGACACTTTACTTTTAGGTACAATCAACTGAAGCTTAGATTCTGTACCATCATCGTTCTCAAAGGTTCTATAAAGAAGATCATCTTTCAGCACTAGGCAATGCCATTGACTCCAGTAACACTTGACTTCTGGACTACATGCACTAATGTCTTGCCAAGAAAATCTTTCACTTCCACGCATCCAATCCAGTACTCTTTTTATACATGGATCATCTGCTTAAGCGTCTTGTAGCTGTTGAGGCTCGCATTGATCATTAATGACGGTGGTTCGTCTCACGGGGCAAAGTCGTTCTTCTAATTTAAGACAGTGATTACAATTTGCACTGCACGGCCGTCTCGAAAGGGCATCAGCATTTAAATGAACTCTTCCAGCCCTGTGTTCGATATCGTAATCATATTCTTGTAATCGTTCTAACCATCTTGCCATCTGGCCCTCTGGATTACGGAATTGTAGAAGCCATTTTAGAGCAGCGTGATCCGTGCGAAGAAGAAACTTTCTGCCATACAAGTATTTATAGAAATGCTTCCAAGCCTTTATTACGCCTAGCAATTCTCTCCTGGTAACGCAATAGTTTCTTTCTGGTTTCGACAAGACTTTGCTAAAGTAAGCGATGACTTTCTCCTGCCCATTTTGGATTTGGGAGAGAACAGCTCCTATTGCAGTGTTGCTTGCATCGGTGTACAACACAAATTTTCCTGCCTGTCTAGGGTAGCTTAAAATCGGTGCGCTGATCAGAGCCATTTGTAAGTGTTCGAAAGCTCTTTGACACTCTTCGCTCCATGTATATTCTTTGCCTTCTTCTGTCAACTTGGTTAATGGCTTGGAGATGTTGGCAAATCCTTTGACAAAACGTCGGTAATATGTACATAGGCCAAGAAAACTTCTAATTTCGTGTTTATCTCTTGGTACTGGCCAATCCTTAAGATGCGCGAGATGCTTCGGGATGCAACTGTTAGGCGGGCCACACTGAATGCATGTTCGTAACAGTATGATGTTTAACCATGATAAAACCACGAAGTTTTTCGCATTAGAAATGATTTATTTTTATTTAAATTTCTTTCGCCAAGAACTATCCTATAAAGGGAACCTTGAATCTCAATTATATATGAAATATTTGCACTTTACTGAATATTATAATGATTTCCTATTGGTTGATTATAAAAGCATTAACAAATAATTTGGCTAACATGGATTAGGATGACTTTTTTAATGTTTAACTAATAAAATGATTTGTTTGTTTCTAGCTCGAAAGAACAGCACTACATTATGCCATGGGCGTGGAAAAAATGGAATCCATCAGCAGAGTCCTGATCAAAGCAGGAGCCACTAGAGTGGTAAAGGATCTCAAAGGCAGACAACCGACTTACTATTTCCTGAACAAATCAGACATTCTAAGACTACAAGAAGAAGAAGAGACGTTTTGAATGGCGAAACAAAGCCTTATGAACACTAACCGATTCGTTGACGTTGTTTTTCAAATTGTATCGAATCAAAAAGCAAGGAAGAAGTTAAATAAATATCGACAATATATGAAAAGTTTCGAACCCGGCAAAAAATAAATTCTTGTGCAAAATTTTTAGTCACTTAAGCTTTGGGGACCAAAACTTAAGAACGTCGTAGAGGGAAAAATATTTTATATAAGTTTATCTCTAGAATTTCTGGAACTTAAAGGTAAAAAAGGTTTTATTAAAAATATAGAACGACCAATTTCAGACTAGTACGTCTTTCTGTAATTTAAAAATAATTTGATATCAAATATTTAAAAGTAGTGGTTGATGCGGGTATATTTGTTTAAATAAAAAAAAAAAAAAATATTTAAAAGTGTTTGTGGTTCAATATGAAATTAAGAATTTTCTGCCGTCATTAAGTTAACCTAATATATAGTTACATCATTCTATATCTGTAAGACCCAAATCTACTTCAGAAGTTTCTATTTCCTCTATTCCATATTTTGTACAAATCTACACTCAAGAGTATCTGAATCTCAGTCGAAAACAGATGAATTTAAAACCTAATTATCTCTTTATTTATATATCTATATCTCTATAATTTATATTTTAACACGCTAAGCCCCAAAGTTGCGCTCCTTTTGTCTCGGACCAAAGGAATGTTTTTGTACTTCCGATATCAATTATATTAGTTTTTGTGTATGCATGACAATTTGTCGTTTTGATAATTAAAACAAGGAAAAAACATTGTGGCCACTTTTGGTGCCCATGGTCTGTGGATAAAATTTTTTGTTCTTGGTTTTAGTCCAGACCATGTGCACCAAGTTGTCCCAGGCAGTTTGTAATACATGAACAAAATATATTGCAACAAATATACATATTATGATATTCAATTACATTAACTTTTTAACACTACTTGCATGGGTATCAAAAAAAAACACTTAATGCGCATAAAAGTAGTAAGGGGCATCCTGGACAACATGTATGTACTTTACTTCCATCGCGTTCTGAAAAATATATGTTCCTCTTATCCCTTTTTCTATAATGCTTTATCGAGCGGATTGTCCTTATTGTGATCCGGAACCACCCCTAGTTTGTCTTCTTCTTTCTATGCCGTTCCCATTAACGGAGGTTGGCGACCACATTTCTAAAAGTTTCTCTGTCTTTCGCAACGTGGAATAATAATTGGTCTACATTCATGTTTGTCCAGTCTCGAATATTTCATAACCATGACTTCTTTTACTTCTCTTTCTACCTATTCCCTTTTTACCATCGACTCTACCCTGTATGATGACCTGCAGAAGAGTATATTTATCATTCCTCAGTATGTGTCCAAGGTATGCAGAAAAATATTGTGGGTATCGAAATTGTACTGCATCATAATTTTTTATTAACATTTAAGCAAAAAAAGTGACTTTTTTGTTAATTTCAATATTGTGAAAAAAACTATTTATTAAAGATGAATACTCAAAGTGGAAATCATATATACAAGCTAATAGACGTCAACTCCAACTTAAAATGCATAAGCTGGCTAATAAAAAAATTGGAGAGTTGGAAAATAAAAGCCACGTGGTTAAAGTTAAGTGTCTATTTAGGTTAGGATCGAAATTGAGAGTGGCACAGAGACGAATGGAACGGTCTATGCTGGGAGTAACATTGCGAGACTGAATAAGAAACGAAGATCTGCAAAGAAGGACGACTATTGCTGATGTTCAAATGGAACTGGCCAGGTCATGTAGCGAGAATGCACCACATATGATGGACGAGCAAAATTACAAATTGGGGGCCAATAGCAGACCAATGTAGTAGAGTAAAAATCGTAAGGAATGGAGAAGTTTAAGGGAGGCTTATGTCCAGCAGTGGACGTGATAAATAAAGGCTGCATGATGAAGATGATCTATTTAGGTATCTACAACATAATTAAAGAGTAGGAAGTAACGTACGGGTCTGTAAACAAATGATAGATGTTTATAGAAATGAGAGATCTCAATTGATTAGAGAACAACAACTAGTTTCCGAAAAAAAAACAACCACTAGTTGATAAAAAATGCTCCTTGATGATCCCATTGGGTAGGAGAAATAAAGTTACTCAAAAAAGCAGAGCAGCTTACAAAAACAAAGTTTGAAGATAACAAAATTGACAAAATCAAGAGAAACATGGAAATAAAAGCTTACCGGAAGAAGGTAATGTAAATGGAAGATTGAAATAAGATTGTCGAAGTGGGCAAGACCCACATAAAGGCAACATATTGATGATGATAAAGATTAACATAATTCATCTAGAAATTAGCTTTTATTTTTGAAGTGTTTAATTTTTTTTATAACTATATATTTTAAGCAATTTTAGAGGTTTTTAATAGGTTCTCTCCAAAAGACATATTGGGCTGTACTATTAAAAATTGGTCGTTCTTATGGTAATCTAAAAGCATGTTCCTGTTTGTAGGTTGCAATGGTTTGTGATATTTGTCAATAAACAAGACTAGAACAATTTTTATATAAAAAATAATAAATATTCTGTTAATTTTTCAGTATTTTATAAAAGTATATGTTGGACTAAGGGTGGAAGATAAATTTTAATATTTATAGTAAGTAGTTTCTTAAGAATTAGTCTAATATACAGATTGTATTTAGGTAATTTAAAATTTGTAGTCTAAGTATATTATAAACATTTAAAAAGTACTGCTTAGATAAAATATTGTACGGCAATGAGGTTAAAGCGGCCCGTCACAAGTTAAAAACCGGCTCACGACTATTTTTAAACTAGAACCTCAAAAAATATATAAAATATACATCTACAATGTGTCTACAGATCCTGATGTCACTAGCCTCTACACTTTAAATTTTAAAAATCTACCTGTCACTCGATCATTTACTTCGATCAGTTCTATTTGATCAAATTGACTTATGTCAATATTAGTTTCTGGTGCGATATTTACGATTCAATTTTTTTTATCCACAATGAAAATAAAAAGCTGAAAGTATTTTTCTAGTCGCTGAACTTTTTGCGTAAATTCATCTTATGAAATCGATCTACATATAAAACCAGTTTTGTATTATATTTTTTACCGATCACCAAATTCGAAGCCAATTTTTTAGGATCAATAAAATTTTCAGAAGAATTAAAAATTAAGAATTAAAAATATCGAATAAAAAAATAATACATGGCTCATGATTCTTGTCAGGTTTTTCCATACAAATAACTAATACGAATACTGATAACACCGAGAATTCATTCATGAAATGATTCCCCAAAATGAAGTTGTAAGGGACAAAAGACACGACAAAAAATTTTACCATATGACAAACACCATTGGCCTCTATTGGAAGATCAATGGTACCAACAACTGATTTATTCGAACTATCTGCTAAGCAGACATGTTTAGTAGATGTAGGATTATATTTGATTCCTTGAGAATCCAAAAAATGAACTCCAGCGGCATCCACAACGGATGTAGAGCAACCACTGTCCAAAAGGACTAAAAATTTTTTAGAGAAAATAGAAATACTAACATGAGGACGACTGTCAAAATTTTCTTCTCAAAAATTGGGGTTATTGATGACCTGAAAGGCCTGACGGTCTTAGATCTATTCAAGGTGCAAATATATACTTACACCTAGATGACCACAATGAGAACAAGATATTTGTTTGCTCCTACAGTCACTAGAGATATGAAATGTGTAACCTTCTCGAAGAATAATTGCTTTGGCTCTCTTTCCTGGCGACAACGTTTTGGGTTTCTTGGTGTCATTTTCATTGAATCGACACTGATGTATTCCTCTCCGACAACTAAACAATATCGCCTTAGTAACAACTACCTGACGTCACTAATAAACACTGGAAAACGAACTAAACTGTACTAAACACTTCCCAATAGGTCGTTGACTGACTAGCAAAACCCTGACGCAATAAAATAAAAATGTTATTGTACTGATAAACTATATAAATCACAATCATGAGACGAGTGTTGCTGGAAATAACGATAATTTTTGTAAACTTTCCAGAATTTTGGACACTAGTGTATAATATGAAGTTTTTAAAGCAATATCAATGAGAAAAAAAGATAATTTCTAACACTGAACTTTAAATTTTTAATTTTTCAATTTGTAGTACTTTTTAAATGTTCTATATTTGTGCTCTATTAAATGTATTTGAAATATAAAAGTTGAAAGTGATAATCATTATATCAATATTGTTAAAAAAAACAGTTATAACACACCCAACAATTTTTTTCACAAAGACATTCATCATGTGACTTTTAATGCTAGTTTTTGGTAGCTGCTCCCTTGAAATTCTCGCGCTACAAACAAGCTATTTCTAAATCTTCATCTTTGTCTGTTCTTTGCTAGATTAATGCATCTATGGAAGACTATTCCTTCCCCTAGGTCAGTGAACGGTGTATGTTGGTCATTTGTCTTTTGCTATATTAACAATTTTGTCTATTATTTTTTCTGTTAAATATCCAGCCAGTTATTTCCTATACAATACATTTTGCTATGATCTATTCACTCCAATTGTTTTCCGTCATTCTTCTCAGTATTTGCATTTCTTCTATGTTCAATTTCATTTGTGATTATTGCTGTTATCGTGGCTTTTGTAACTTGTTAATTTCATCTGTGGTAATGTGAAAATTTCGTCAAATGGTGTTATTAAGAAATTTTGCAAAAATGTCTTTGCAGTTGATATCTTTCTCTTCCCTCTCCAATGTCTTCTTAACTGATCAATGTAATTTCTAGGTGTTGTGTCTCCATTAGTTATTCTATGCTGGTGACATCATTACTATTTTGGTTTTTCTCAGATGAGATCTTCATATTACATTATTTTGCTCTTCTGTTGTATCTGTAGACTAACTTTTGTAGACTATCTTCATCTTGGGCTGTCAATATTGTATCGTCTGCGTAACAAAACATTTTTAATTTTAATGTTCTCCATTATATACCTATTTATTTGATTGAGGATAATGCAAGCCCTAATGAAT